TTTGGATGTCTGTGTAGCTGTCTGTGGCTGTCTGTGGTTGTATGTGTGCTGTCTGTGCAGCTGTCTGTGGCTGTTTGTGGCTGTCTGTGGGTGTCTGTGTGCTGTCTGTGGGTGTCTGTGGGTGTCTTCATGTTTTACTATTACCCGTCTATTTATCATCTTATGCAGTGTCAGAAACTTTCAAACATACCACCCCGCCCTGGTACTCTTATAGATTGTGGTCTTGATATACGAATATTGTTCAATTGTGGCATAGGCGATGGCGTTTGCGTGGATGTTTGCATAGGTAAACTTTGTTGTTGTTGTTCTGGAGATCGATTATTGAAGGAAGACGGCGCTTGTTGTTGCTGTATTTGTTCTTTTTCATGTGTGACAGGATCTGTTTCAGATAATTTTTGTGTATTATTCTTTTGATTTGTTTCTTTAGGTGTAGCAACTTTTTTCTTCGACTTTGCTGTTTGCCACTCTTTCTACAAGAATCAAAGATCAAAATATTATATTGGAGAAACACTCATATAAGTGTTCAGCTAAACTATTATGTTCCAGTACAAAACTGCTATAAACATGATTAACTAATCATAATTTATTTATTTAGTAGTTGACATGTATTCAACTATTTCAGCTCAATGAATTAACATCGGCCGGTATTGATTGAAATAATCGTAAACTCTTCAGTGATACGAGAACAAAAACGAAAACCAATTAATCTAAGCTTCTTCTGAAAAAGCTTGGATAGTCAACAAACTTACTTGCAAATCACTAGTTCCATTCTCTAATATCTCAATTGCACTTTGAACATTATAATCACTTGCATGCAACGCATATGCTATTGTATCCAAGTCAAATGATGAACTATCAGATATAGATTGTTGAATCTTCATTATATAAACAAGAAATAAAGAACAATTAAGTGTAATTAATAAAAAGTATTCATCACATACCTTGCTAATTTTTTTTTTTATTGTTGCATCATCAATGTTATCGTCAATCAGTTTAGCGATACGTAGTTCATCGGCATATGTTTTCTACAAAAGAAAATCAACTTCAAATAAATATAAACAAACTTGTAGCTCAAGCCTACCTCATTCTGATTTTTAAAATTTCGAATTGTATTATTATTATTATCTGGTAACAACTGAGTTTGTGATTTGGCATCGTCTGTAGAGTGTGTCATTGTTGTTTCTAAAACCAATAAAATGCGTTGAGTACTTTCTTCAGACAATAATAGTCTTTTTTAGAAGAGTAAAAGTTCCTTGAGACTTAATAGTACATACTGGTGACTTGCGAATCTTTGTGATAGCACCGTGAATTTAAAAGAATTAGTAATGATCAAAAATTACGAAAGCGCAACATAATTATGAAGTCTTTTTTGTTGTTCTAAAATAAAATTAATTAAATTTGAGTTTTCTGTTTATATCCTTTGAATAATTTTGAACATGTTCAGAAAACTTCTTAGAATCATAATTCTTTCAGAGTTAGATAGAAGCCATATTAATGTTAATATTTTAAAATACAATCTGTTTTTTTTCTCTCGCACAACTGATGAGGTACTGTGAGAGAGCGTCCATGTTTTTATTTTTGGGCAAATCAAATATCAGTATAATAATTGTAAAGAAAAACTGATGCAACTGAAAATTTAGTACGTCTGGAAAACTTCTGAAAATAATTCCAAAGAAACATAAGATTGATCATATTTAGTACTTTGGCGCCATCTATATTGCAAGCTTGTCAGATAATTTGTCCCGAACGATAGGTGACTTCAACTCTTATTGTGTTGCTAGAAAGATTAGTGATAGAGAAACTTTAAGCGAAAAGCCCATTACTTTGCTTCATCGTCATGGCAGATGACTGATGCAGTACGTGAAGATATACTGTAACAGACATTCTAACATCAAAAATGAAAGCTTGGAGGGAAAATTTAGATTGAGTAATCAGACTTTTTTCTTTTTTGTTAATGAAAATACATCCACACTGATTTGCAGCTCTCTAGAATACCAGTGATGCAGACAGACATTGAACACACAACAATATTCTGGATGTTTTTACTATCTTATCTCCCTGCTACGATAACTTATTTCTAATTTATGCGAAAACAGCTCATAAACCTTGAGAGAATACTTAGTTGTGTGATTATATAAAACAATAAAATTAGTTTTTTTGAAGAATTGTATATAAACGAGGCCATTATTATCGGACTTTTACAGTAATGTTTTATTGTTGACCAACTAGTTACAGAGCAAAAAATATCGAATTTCGTACAAACGGATGGACGCCCACCTATCGGTATTAGAAGACTAACTTGAGAAAATTTTGCTGGAGGATAAGAGAGAAAAACTTGGCCTACTGAAGAATTTAAAAAGTTCAATATTCTTTAACCACTGAAGAACATTGAATTTTTTAAGTTCTTCCAAAAATAGCCAGATGAGTTGTTGTTCTTTTAATGTCCCACAGTAAATTCGTGCTAATAGGCAAAAGTCATCTTACAAAAAGAAGTTTTTAGTACGGCACTGCCGATGTGCAGCAGTGCCAAATTTTATTTTTAAATTGCCCTTCTGATTTGTCAGTGTCTGTCAATATAACTGCTAGTATACTTGTAATATTTTCAATGTATACGTGACTTCATCGTTCTTTCTCATAACGGACGTGCGCGCGTAATGTTGCATGGTTGTGGCATAGCAATGTGGTACTGATACCTATCACTTGCCGCACTCCGTTTAATATAAAGCAAAGCACATTTGATTTCGACTGCTCTAATCGGCTTAAAAGACCATGAACTATTTTCCAACATACATAGCACTTTTGCATTTAATGAAAGTAGGTATAGAACGACCGTATAGTCAGTCACTTTTTTGTCCTGTAATATGTCTTGAAAGTTCGATTGTTTTTTCAAAAACTTTCTTAATTTATGGAAGTAAGGCCCTATTTTGCATTCTAATTTCGTTAAAAATGAGCCATTATCTCCTCCTGTCAACCATTTGTGTCGTTTGCACATTTTTCCATTTGAAACTGAATTTTTTTTGTTTTGTTGTAACTCCTAATATCAATAGATTTAATAATAATATTTGGATCTATGTTTCCTTCCTGAAAGAAAGGATCTAAAAAAAATAACGTCGGCGTGTGTGTGTGTGTGTGGCTATCCTTTATGAGCGGCCAATAAAAAAACGCAGACAATGATATCTGTTGACAGGAAAGAAAATGAAAGAAAAAAATAACATATTTCGAGCATTCGAGTAGAGATATAATATTCCCTTCTTGTTAGGAAGGATCTTATAAAAAAACTGTGTTTTTCTGTCTGTTGTTCCTCAAAAAGTAAAAATCGAATAATTTTTCACAGGAATATTTTGGAAGGTTGAAACTTAAGAACTATAGGCAATCCCAAATGGAGAATCTCTTATGCTATTAGAGGATCTCTTAGAGGTTTTTTCTACACTTTTCGAGTTTCTACTATTTTTTGAGGTTTTGACAGTAAGAGATGAATACTGGACGTGTGTTTGGGTGACTGGCTCCGAAAGGATCAAAGTGAGCCAAGGAACCAGGCGTAATCTGGACATTTCCAAGTCAATGGTGCGAGCTGAGGTATTTTTCGACTTTAAATGGTTGGACACACTTTTAATTCTATCATACCAATAAGTGCCTTCGCTAGCCCTCCAGTAACGGTCGAGTGATTCGGCGACCCTAGGGATCAAATCTTATATAGGATTTCTATAGGAATCTTACAAATATCTACAAGAATCTTATAAGAATCTTATAGAAATCTTACAAAATCTTATATGCTTCAGTCGATAGAAATGCATACTGTGGTTATAAGATTCTTGTGTAAGAAAATTATAAGATTTCTATATAATTTTTATAGTCAAAAACAGAAAGAAAAAAACAGTTTTTTTTTGTTGCCTGAAGGACGAGGGCAAGGTTTTGAACTTTGAAATTTTTGAACATTTTTAATAAGGCACTATAAGATTATAGGACTCTTATAAAAATATTATAAACTAAAATCTTACCAAAAGCTTATTAAATTCTTATAAGATTCTTATATTGCAAATTATAAGAATCTTATAATTACAGTATGCATTTCTATCGACTGTAGCATATAAGATTTTCGTAAGATTCCTATAAGATTCTTATCTGATTTCTGTACTTTCGGTCGACTAGGGGATGAGCGTTACTATCAACGTCTCTCATTTGGAAAAAATTGTCACACATTTGCGACAACTGGTACACAAAAAGATCGACTACCTACGTCCCTATATAACTTTCTTTTTAGATGCTACCAATATACATCGATAACTGTTTTTGGAGATTCTCTGTTTTATAAACTGAACTTATTTTACTGCACAGCCCCGAAATGCCATGGTAAATGTGTAACAATGTCATGCTAAAAGTGTGACAATGTCGTAATACGGTCACACTGTAGCATAACATGGTTGCACATTTACCATAGCATTGCGTGACAGTGTAGAGAGTCTGTTAGAAAACGTTTCATTCGTCTGAAGATTAGCTCTCAAAATAAAAATCTATTCCCTTTAACGAGCTCAAAAAACTCCTGCGCTCATTGATCTCTGTCACATAAAATTAAAGAAAATTCATCTTTTTAATTAACGTCTCTCGACGTTTGTATTTACTTTCAGCCCGTTTGATCGAATCTTGTTTAAATGTTGCCTTTATGATGTTTTTTTTATATTTGATGAAGGAGTTATAACAATAAATAGTGCAGTCAAGTTTTAAAGCACTACTTTTGGCTTTTTAAATATCTGTATGCGTCTATATCATATATACCGTAGAGTATCTGCCTTTAGAGATGTTAGTAGAGTCGTTCATTAAAATTTTTATAGTTTCATATGGCCAAATCCAAAAGTTTTCTTGGAAAAATATGGTATTTTTAGCTTTAAAACCAAGATGAAAATGGTATTTTTAATTACGAACAGCTTTTGGAGGTTCCATGTCGCCAAATTGTAGTTCGGCTAACATCTCTATGTCACTTTCACAAACTTTTTTTTTGTCGGAAGTTAGTGATTTGTTTCGGTATCTTGTGTGTCGTTAATTTTGTGCAATTACAATTATTTCTGGTAGCGAGTTTATTGTAAACAGTGGAAAAAGATACAAAAAATTATTATTTAGCGAATGAGACTAGCTTACTTTGGTTTGATAACCCAATATCGATTAAGTAGTGTATAGTTTTCTTTTATTGTTAAAACAATCCAACCGTTTGTGTTAATGGCAAAATCATTGATTGTATATTTAGTAACATGATCATTTGGAGCAAAAAGATGTTTTAATCCAGTATGACCTACTATTGCGCCTCGTTGATCTAATATATATAAAAATGTTCCACATGTTAGAAAGTATTTTCCACGAAACCATTGAATATCATTGGGTAAATTATATGTACACATGTATAATGTTTGTACATGAACTCCTGTCACTGTGTAAAGACCAATCGAGGCTATTTTCTCTAGTGAATATGTAAAGAGAAGATTGTTACAGATGAATAATTTCAATGGGAGATAATCAATACGAAATGATCGTTGAAATATTCCGACTCTTGTATATGTTCGGATCGCGCGATTTGTGTCGTCACATACGTAAATTAATCCTGTATGAGCTATAGCTATACAATCACCACGTAATACGGGTATATTGAGTTGTTTTGCTGTCAATATTTTATATAATTGATTTATTGGTGAGAAAATATAAAATTCGTAGCACAAAAGAGGTATCATGAAAATGTATCCATCGAGATCGATTCGAATTTGATAGAATGAATAATACTGAACCGTAGATGATGCATATCTTAGTTGATTTAAATATATTGACGTTACATCGATACGATATCGTCCCTGTGGATCGAGTAAAAGTAATTTTTGATTCGCATTATCTACTAATAAAAACCGTCCATCGTTATGTGCTTCGACTGCACTTAACCATGTGAAGTCAATTGTTATTTTACTGGCATCAAACTTTTCTATTAGAGATAATGGTTGGTTATTAAAATTGGATGGTATTGACCAAACAGATGAATATGTGTTATTTAAAATGAATCCAGACGATAAATATTGACGTGGGCGTAAATATGGTATTACATAGGAGTCTACGTATTTAAAATTATCGTAAAAATCTAATAAATCTGTACGTGAATTAATTGTGTAACGTTCTAAAATACAAAGGATTTTCTGAAAGTAGTTTGCCATCAGAATATCTTGCAAAAGTTTCTTATGTTGACTTTCCTATTATTGAATTTTTACAGAATCCAGAGTTATTCGCGTTTATTTATCTTGTTTTGTATAACACAGTCAAATATTATCAGACAAAACCACATTTTTAAATGAAAACATATCTGCACGAAAATGAGACATGTTTGTAATCTTGAAACTTTTTGTGAACGACATCAGAAACACATATGATTCTCTAGACTAGGCCTGTGACAGTTCATAGTTCTTTGTACTGCAGTTTCCCGATAACAGGAACTGTTTTTCAGTTCGTGTTCAATGAACGGTAACGGTTTTTCAGTTTCCGTTCCTGAACTGGGAACAGTTCAGCAGTTCACGTTTTTAGAAACGAGGAACGGTTCACCAGTTCCAGTCCCTGCGAACGGGAACTACAGTTCTTTTTTAACTGGAAACTACTCAGTGTCCTTTAGTTGATTTGTTGATATATTATGTATTTCATTTCGCAAACATAAGATTTTGAAAGAGTGAGGAGCACTGAAATATTTTCGCAAGCTAATAATTTTACAAGGAAAAATCGACTATCATTAACTTCAGCAACAACGACAATGTCTATATTTTTGAAAGACAAAGTATCAATGTTGATAGTTTTTATTATTTTGATTGTTAGTATCTCTGTGAAAAGACTTACATAAAGTAACTAGTAACTCTAGACTTACATAAAGTAAAAGTGCTCTCTATTTTTATCCAACTCTGTAGATATTTCCGTTGTGAAACTATACGTCAGATTATCTAGAATTTCAAGTTTCGTTTCGACACGCACGTATTTCTTTGCATTAACGTTTCCATGTTGAAATATTACTCTTTCAAGAGAACGTTAAAACAGAAAGATCGCTTTTCAATACTTTCGGTACTATAACAACGATTATCCAATGAAATTAACCGCGTTCTGTTGCTTTTTTACTGAATTGTGCATCCGGAAAATTAAGCGGAAACAATCCGAAAACTCGAGTTTTTATGAAACTCTCCTTTCGAAAACAAATATTGCCACAGATTTAGCGTAGTCAATTACGTATGTTTCATGAGATTTCAAGTTTACCTAAAGGCATCTGGCAGTATCCCTCTAACACCAAGTAGTCCAATATTACGCCGGAACCACTGGAAATGAAAATCCTCTTTGGCTCCCATTTTGAAGAACACTATCTATCTACTCATGTAGAAACAACACTAAATTACCGATTTTTTGGCAACTAGGCTAGTTTTTGTTAATGATCTCCTCAAAATTCTACTTTCGAAAAGACTTAGAACTTTGTTTTGCTAGTAGAAAGATTTTTTCAAGTCTTCTCTTTTGATTGACGAACACTGCAGGTGTCTAGCTCTTTTTTTCTCAAAAATTAATCGCACGTCCTATAGTTTGAAATCTATAGTAATATACAGTAAAATATTATTTTTTGAGATAGGAAACCTGATTGCCTATTTCTGAGATAGATGTTTTCTGTGATAGCCGCTTTGTAAGGGTGCGCCTGTCAGAAATCTATTTCGGTAACTTTTCCCAAAACGTTATCATAATGTTCGTCAACATGGAGCAGCTAAGGTTTCTCAAAGTTCTCACTCAGATTAGATGTTAGAGAGCTCCATTTCGTAGAAAAATGCTACTACTTTGGCAGTACGAAATCGGATTTTTAAAAGTTTCAGTTAATTATTAATCTGAAGCATTTTTTGTCAAAACTTTCAAAAACTTTGTTCAAGTTTTCCAGAGTTCCTAAGTTTAGTCAACTGTCTCTGCGAAACTCAAAAATCTGGCTGTGTACAATCGAAACGATAATATTTTTCTACGAAACGAGAGCATCCTGAGCTCTCTACATTTAAAATGAGTGAGAATTTTAGGATAGTCCTAGAGTGACAAAAGTAAAATCTATTTTAGAATATGGCGATGCTAGTGTGTATGGTACAGATTATAAGACTCGTAGAAAAACGGTTATAGCTTTTGATCAAAACATTGCTCAAAGCTGGGCGGTGTCAAATTTTAACGAAAAATGTTTACTCTACAAACTAACATCATTAAAATCCTTTTTGATTACGGCGTTTTACCGAAATATGTTGTATAACAATCAGATATTTAGGCTTTCTAGTCAACTTTTTGTGAAACTCTAAAAAGCCTTGGATATTAATAAAAACAGTATGAATTCGCAGAGTAGACATCTTAAACTATCCATCTATGTGATTAGCTCAGTATCAACCTTTTTACGAAAAAATGTATATTTTTGACAAGAGGATCTGTAACTTAAGACTACGAAGTACTTTATTTCGGTAATTTAAAAATCTAGAGTACCAAACTTTTTCTTGATTATCTATATATTTAGAGCAAGGCAGAACTCGCTTTACGTAGATCTTATTTCGCTATTATCTTACCTTTCACAAACTGAGAGAAACATTCTTCTGTACGTTCTGCCGTATACAATACCGAATTTGAGCTTCGATATGGTACTAAAGAAGAGAAATATAATATATAATAGTAAACCTTTTATCACAAATACAGATGAACTTATTCAAGTCTATTTTGGAATAGAGTTGAATAGGTCAAAAATGAAAATAATTACCTGGTTGACAGCAACTATACTTCAATTCTACTATTTCTGTCCAATGATGACGTTTTATTCCGCGATCCATGTAACAGAATAATTCATTTTTATTATATTGTTTAAATTCCATTCTTGATATAAATATATCTCTTAAATAGAGCATATCTTGTTGATAAGTAATGCAATTGCCTAATTCAATATGTAAACCTTAAATGAATCAATTTAGAAAAATTATCTTTTATAATACTAATTTACTCACACATAATAGCATGCAACCAATTTTTAATCAAAATTTTTTGTTGTTGATTTAAGTAAGTCACTGGATACCAGTCAACAATATTTAACCAAAATTGTTTTGGTATAATATTTCTAATGTGAAATATTTTCATATATATTGAATATAAATCAAGTCCAGACCATCTTGGATAAACATTTTGAATATAGATACTTGAAAGATTTGAGAAACGAAATAAATTTAATAATTCTGTCACACTCCCATGAGTATTTTCAATTTTTAAATAATCTAATTTTGGTGGATTTGTTTCATAATATGTTGTTGTTCTTGGAAATAAAATAATAAAACTTAAATTTTTAATTATTAATTTTTTTAATGAAATCAAACATTTTGTCCAACTATAATCAATTTCTACATAACATTGCCATTGTCTATCAAAACAATTATAATCATTATACAATATAACTTCATCAACTAGTAAATATTTAAAATAATCATTTTGACAAAATGAAGAAGATGTTAAATAAAAATTATAATAGTTTCGACAATCAAGACGATTTAAATTATCAAGACGACAATCTAAATAAATTGGCAAACAGTTAATCATTTCATTAGAATATTTAATAGAAACTTACTCCAAGGTAGATTTGTATTAGTAATTGTTTTGTAATATTGAAAATGTTGAGTTTGTCTTGTACTGATATCTGATAATCTCATTGTTGTTGTTAATGTCGGATAGATATTTCGATATCTATTTAAATATGTGTAATTGTTCCATGTAGACTGTTGTGTAGTAATCATCAAGTAAAATTGAAACAGATTACATAATGTATGGAGTAAATAAATTTTCATTGCACATCTATGCGTATATATTAAACAAGATACAACATCAGGTGGATTTTATTTAATGTCAATATTATCCTTCTGTTAATAATAATTGAATAAAATTTAATCAAAAATTCATCTAGTTACATAATTGTAAGATTGAAAAGAACTTATAGATACAATTTTAGCTCACCGTTGTTTCTTTTTGTTTTGCATTCTAATATTCTAGATTATTAATTCTCTTGACGTTCAAGTCATTTTTCTTATTTCATGTGTATTTCTCTTTTTTTTTTTTTATTTAGTCTTTGGATATTAGAAAGTTCATTTTTTTATTAGAATTTTTTCTGTTTTTTTTTTTAGTAAACCAGAGAATATTAATCATGATCTATATATTCATATTCATTTGTAATAGAAAATGAAATAGAACGTGTTTGTTACGTAATAATTAGTGTTAAAATGAAAATATATCGTGAATTCTAATTTCTTGCAACAAACAACAGTAGTTGGTCAGAGGAATAAATTCAACTAGAAATCATGAGTAATCATGTAGAATCATGCATAAAACATTTCAGATAATTACAAATAGTATATTTGGTGTTCAATGTCACCACTATAATAATCAAGGTTTTTTTAGAGTTTGTCAAAATGTTGCCAAAGGTAAAAACTTGAAATACCTATTGAACTATTTTCTTTCGCTATTTTTCTTTTTGTTTACAAAATCATCAAAACCATCGGGAAATCTACTAGATAAAAGTTTGATTAATCACAAGCTAAAATTTTGTGTAAAAAACGAGATCGATGATAAGACTCAATGATTGTTTATAGAATTTGCATAATTTATTTTGTTTTACTCGTGTGTATAGAACAACGAAAATGTAACTCAAAAAAAGGGTTTTAATGCTTATATCGTATTAATCTAAAAGATCTTGGATACGATAGAAAAATTCATGTTTGTGTAATTACTTATTTTACACTGTCGAGTTTTATTAAAAAAATATATTATCTTCGATTAATAAATATATTCATATGATCGAAAAGACCTCATGAGAAGGGTAAAAGTAAAGCTTTAAAGTATAAAAATCAGATTGCCTATATAAAAAAAAGGGTTATCACAAACTTTTGGTTAACCCCTGATGCAATTTATGCGAAAAGTAATTACAGGTTACGCCATTATTGTGGCGCTACCTATGATTATTCCAAAATTAACATCTTCAGCCAACCAAAACTTTGTGATAACTGTTTCTTTATGTAGGTAATCTGATTTTTATACTTTAAAGCTTTACTTTTACCCTTCTCACGAGACCATTTTGGCCATATGTTTACAAAGAAACAAAGTTGAAATGAGATTATGAGATACTAAATCTAGCTAAATGAAGCCAAATTTTGTTTAGATATATGATTTAAACATTGTATATTGAACAGTCTTATGACCTTTTCTGTATGAGAGCACTATAAGATTGAACGTTTCATATATTTTTTTATCATCAGAAGGGAAAAGATCTCAAAATACCAACATCAAATTCACTAACATGGTGCTTTCATCTTTCATTTTATAATATTTTTGAAGTGGGGGAAATCAGAGGATTTCTAACCAGGTGCTTTTTATAGAACCGAAAACCGAAGTAAATATGGTTGTTTGACCATTCGCTGTTCTAATATATACACTCAGATATATTTGAAAGTTAAAAATTCCATAACTAACAACAAGAGAAACTAACATTCTTTCTATCCTGTAGGTAGATTTATTCGTCTCTTTTTTGCACGTTTTTCGTGGTAGCCCGCTTTTGTATGGCATTCCAGTGTATCTAATGCATCCTGGATGCGTTGAGGACGGCGGAATGTCCTATGTTAAGCATAAAAAATGCACTTAATTTAAATGCGAGAATGCATCGAAAATGCCTTGACTAAGCATCCACAATGTCTCACGCAGACACTATGGGTGCATAAAACTGGAACCCAGGCGCTTCGTAAGGCATGGTGACGCGCTTTTTTACGTGGAAATTCCATCTTACTCATCAAAAATAAGGTCGCCTTTAACACCTAAAGTACATTCTTTTTTCAAAAATACATCCTA